CCCCAAAACCCCAAAACCCCAAAACCCCAAAACCCCAAAACCCCAAAACCCCAGTAGCAGATCAACAGGTTGAAAAATCAAGTATGGACTACACCAATTTATTAGGCGGGTTTTTAGGTCGTTCAGTAGGAAGAAGTGGGCTGAGCGACCAGGGGGAGATGGGAAGGGAGGCGGAGGTGTGCAGGTAGTAGTGTTTGGGTGAAGGGCGAGGGTAGTTAAGCAGAAGGGAGTTTATAGTGCAAATTTTGGGTGTCGGAATTGGAATGGAGGCGATAGAGACGCAAATTGTGTTACTTAGTTTTATCATTTAGGGGCTATTTTTGCTAAAAGAGCCTAGTTTATTGATAAAGATTTAGGGAAATGGTTTTAAGGCTTTACAAGAGGCTAGATCTCTCTTTTGAATAGTAGAAAGTAAGCTATAGTTCTTTTTTTACTTCTGAAATACTTTTTGTGATTATTTAATGAAAATTTAAATTTTAAAGTTGGGACAGATTAAAGGCATTTCTCATGATCTATATCTAAAATTTTGTTTTAAAACGATCAATAAAGAAGCTGAGAAAGCATATTTAATGATTGATAACTTATGTGTCTCTTTTTAGAGTGTGGTTCAGCTTTAAAAGGATATGCCAGCTTTGAGGTAGATCTAGAGACAAAGAAGATACCTTGTTTGATAAGATAGTGTTCGATATCTTTACTCATAATAGAGAGGAGAACTCGTTATGGATTAAATAATAATTCTGTCGAGTTTTTGATAATTTTAATATCAGACCTATATTGTTCTCTTTTTCATTCAAATGTAGTTCTTTGTTAAAATATCTTCAGCAAATGTGTTTCACATATTCAGAAATCTTGCTTTTAAGTAGAAATTTTCAGATCGTGAGACCACAGAAGATTTTATGTTTAAAAATAACCTAAAATATACCATATTTGGTAATGGACCCTTGTTTACTCTACATTTAAAGCAAGAGGAGCATTTCTTTTATATTTTGAAGCTCTGATTTCTTTTATATTGATATAGATCTTCAAGTTTACTCTGAAATTTGTTGGTAGAAATTGGTGTAAGATATTAACATGAAGATAGATCTATAAATATTAAAGCACAAATTTTTTACATGACGATATACTCTATCTTAAGCTTACCTAATGAACCTGAAATAAAGCTGCAATAACTGCTATCGTAGTAGATAGTTTTCTTTATATATAGAGAATCTTGCAGAACTCTTCTATTAAGCTTTTGGGCAGGAAAATCGAAAACTATAGACAAAAGATGGCAGACATCTTGTTTAGAAATAAGATGCTTTAGTTACCCCTTTAAGTCTATTTATACTGAACTCTCGAAGATATCAGCTTTATAATAAAGAAAATAAAGCATTAGATTTAGCCTGACACTTAATTCGTTCCATTCCTAAAAGAAATGGAAATATTCGTCTAAGGGTGATCGCTCGAGCAATTAGCATAAGCAAAATGCAAGTATAACTGAAGGGAAGTTATTACAGTGACCTAAGAATCTCTTCTGAGGGCAACTAAAGCTTTTGTATCCCTCAGACTATCCATGAAATGGTATAAAAGGAAGAAAATAACTATCTCAAATAATAAATTTTTAAAAATGTCAATTGATTCCAAGTCTGATATCACAGTTATCCAAAAGGAATGTGATATTGTTTCAAAAATCATTAAAGAAGCTGATGATTTGATCAAGGAAAGTATCCAAAACGCTTACAGTGTCCTTTACCCTCTTGCTAAAGAAAGCAAACCTGAAAATACTCTACTCAGCCAGCTTGAGGAATACTGCTGATGATCAATCTTGGGAGATGCTTTGGTCTATACCAATACTCATCCAGACTTGTTTTCACCTGTAAACGAGAAATATTCTACAAAATCTGAGTCTGAAGACAAAGAAAAGACTGACGAAGGTGAAAAGATTAAGAAAGATGAAAAGAAGTTCGCCAAAATTTGCCTAGACACCCCTACAGAGAGTAGAGCGATATACCTTAGAGAGAATTTAGATGGACTATATGAATCCTTGGACGAAATCAAGGATGACGAGCAAGTCTATGTTGAATCCAGAAAGAAGCTTCGCTACACTGCTGAGACTATCAGTAAAAGAAGGTCTCAGTACACTGGAGTATTTAAGAATGGGACTAAATGGCAGTCTCTTATTTCCATTAAGATGAAGAAAACTTATATTCAGACCTACAAAACTGAAGAAAAGGCTGCTCAAGCCTTTGATTTAATGTCTATGATCCTTAAGAAGGACTGAGCTATCACTAATTTCAACTACACAAAGAGAGAGGTGCTAACCTTGATCAGCAAATATAAAGATGTTATTAAGAAATTTTGACAATAGTTACTAATAAATTCAGGATTCAATCGTCATTCAACACATTGGGGTTTTGGGGTTTTGGGGTTTTGGGGTTTTGGGG